ACGCATTTATGTGTACATACATACACACATACAAATGAGCGCGTGTATAAGGCTGGAATGCTTGATGCTATGCGTGCAGACTTACATATATACAGATATACATACATATGTATGTATTTGCGTATATGTATTTGAGGGCTATTTAAGAAGAAACAAATTTAAACTTATAAAATTATTCGACTAAGAAAATGAAAAGTATTAAGTGCCATTCATTCAAGCTCGCATCTTCCCAATAAAATATCTATTTTATAAAAAACGAAATATGTATGAAAAAAAAAATAAATAAATAACACAGTAGAGGTTCGAACCTCCCCTACTCTAACATTACTTGCGTCGCCTTTATCACTCGCACCACTGCTTTGCTTGACCAGCTAAAATAGAATAGCTTAATAAGAGAGCGTCATCAGACAAAATTACAGTAACGGCTAGAAAGTCCAGAAATCAATCGAAATTCTAAGAATGTAAGAAAAGGCGCGCTTCTGTCTGTACGGATAGAATAGACGATGAGTGTGTGCACATGCATAGGAAAATCGCGCTGATCTGCTGTTAGCTTGAAGCCGGTATCCAATATATGGATATATCAAAATTGTATATATTATATATGTATGTAATTTGAATGCAAAAGCTATCGATGATTTTCCAATTTTAATGGCATCAAGCCGTGTTTTTTGTTGCGCACTAGACTTGAAAATTTCACTATATACTCTGGTTGATAGCGTTTGGGCTGTGAATGAGTCTTCTGAAATCGGTATCGCCCGACTGCAACGTTCTTACTTGTTATACCCTGAACCCATTGAAAATGGGAAATCAGGGTATAATGGTTTTGTTAAAAGTATGTAACAGGCAGAAGGAGGCGTGGCAGACCCCACAAAGTATATATATTCTTGATCAGGGCGACGAGCTGGGTTGATTTGGCCCTGTCCGTCTGTCTGTCCGTCTGTCCGTCCGTCCGTCCGTATGTATGAACGCGTCGATTTCCGAAGATATAAGAACTAGAGACTTGAATTTTTTTTTTAAATGACCGTATATACAGCGCGGACGTCGAGTTTGCTTTTAAAATTCGATAAATCATCCCGTTATGTTTTTATCGAGTAAAAACATTCAAGTTCAAGTCATATGCCACTATAGCTAATTGTGAATGATTTTTCATTTTTTTAATCTCTGAAATATTCAATATAATATGTAGATCATATGCTGAAAGTTTCATTAAATTCCGTTCAGTCAAAAATTAATTAAAAATCATCAAATATTTGGCCAATTAACAAACGCACGTGCAGCAGCTACAACAGCATCGTATGCGTGTGCACACATACATTCAAACTTCTTTCGTTTAGTTTTGGTAGATGGCGCAGCAGCAGTGAATCTATTTGAGTTTTGCCAGCGCCACTAGCAGGAGTGGGGTGGCCTAGTGTGTTAGCTGCATGACGCGTGATCGAGAAGTCGCGGTTCGAATCCCGATCGGAGCGGTTGGTGTTAATTTTTTTTTTAATTGTTTCAAAATATTTTTATATTTTCATAAATGAGTTTTATATTTAATTTATATTTTTAAATACACCGAAATTGAAATTTCAGACATACATACATACTTAATGTACGTTTTTAATAGGTTAATTTAATTTAATTTGGTTATTCTAGCAGATTCTTAGAATCACATTAGCAGTTAGTTTGGTTTAGTTTTGCTAGATGGCGCTGCAGCAGTGAATCTATTTGAGTTTTGCCAGCACCACTTGGCGAAGTGAGGTGGCGTAGTGTGTTAGCTGCATGACGATCGATCGAGAAGTCGTGCTTCGAATTCCGATCGGTGCAACTGATGTTAACTTTTTTAATTGTTTCAAAATATTTTTATATTTTATTAAATGAGTTTGGTATTTTATTTATATTTTTAAATACATCGAAATTGAAATTTCAGACATACTATATGGGCATTTTTATACCCTGAACCCATTGAAAATGGGAAATCAGTTTATAATGGTTTTGTGAAACGTATGTAACAGGCAGAACATCGCAGACCCCACAAAATATATATATTCTTGATCAGGACGACGAGCTGAGTCGATATAGCCCTGTCCGTCTGTCCGTCCGTCCGTCCGTCCATCCGTATGTATGAACGCGTCGATCTCATAAGATATAAGAAACTTGAAATTTTTTCCTAGGTCCGTGTATATCACGCGCATATCAAGTTTTTCTTTAAATATCGATAACTCCTCACGATATTTTCTTATCAATCAAAAACCTTATCGAAAGCTAGTTATTTAATTATATCTCCCACACTTTTAGAGCTAGAGCTTGCAAATTTTAAATGTAGATGTATTTTATACATATAATTTCGATTTTTGTTGTAATTTACCTCCCACCCCTATATCCACCCCCTGACCCACACCTTTGTAAAAGGCGTATTTCAAGTACTAGAGACGTGTGCTTTGGAACGTACATATAATTACGCCCTCGTCTCGAAAATTAAATTATTCAACAAATAAATTCTTATAATGTTGCCCACATTACAGCGCAGTCGCTGCTAACTGCAAGTTAGCAGAGCGTGTTCTAATACGTACGTGTGTATGTATTTGTGCCGAAATGAAGTGCAGACTGGTAAGAATATCAGATTAGAGGGTTCAGGGTATCTCCTAGTCGAGCAATCTTACTTGTTAGTGATATACTCGTTATCCGCGCTTTATATACGGACATTTAAAAAACAAGTAAGAGCTTTGCAGTCGGGCGTTACCTAGTGCGGAATACTCATTCACATCCCATCAACAATTTAGTAGCCAAGTTTCACTCTAATACTGTAGAAAATACAATTTTTCGCGATTTGCCACGGTCAGTTCTTAGAACGTAATAACGGTACCCTAACTGCAAAGTTTGAATGCTTACCCTCGAAAAATGTGAAAATTACAGGGTATTTTTCGATATGCTAAGCCAATAAAGAGGCGTACAAATTATTTTTGGGTCGTAGAAAGAGGAGGTTACTGGTAACTTAACTATCTAAATTTGAAGCTTCTAGTTATTTTACTTTAGGAGATATCAATTTTTGCGGTTTGCCACGCCCCCAATGGGCGGAGATATACCCGCTATAGCTTGTGATCTTGGGTGGCCGACGCGGGCCTAGATACCAAATTTCAGCTTTCTAGCTCTTCAACTAATATGATTTCTGGCATATCGGAAAATGCATTTTCCGATTTGCCACGTCCCTATTGGGCGGATCGGGAAAATTTTAATACGTTATAAATCGGAGATATACACGAGTATGTGTTCCAAAGTCAAGTCTCTAGCTTCAATAGCACCGAAATAGATTGCGTTCATACGGACGGACGGACAAACGGACAGCAGGACGGACATTGCACAAAACCAATATACTAATTCACTTTCGTGAATGAGTTTATTAATATTGAAGTCTCTTATATCTTCTGAAATCGAGTCTGCCACACCTCCTTCTGCCTGTTACATACATTTCAACAAAACCATTATATCCTGATTTCCCATTTTCATGAAATGGCCATTATTGAAATTTTGACATCCAAATGCTCCAAAGCCCCATTAATTCAATGCCAACAAGTCTAATGAAAGTATTGAACATCAAGGGGAGCTCTATTTAAAGTAATGTATAGTTCAATAAAAATTCTATTGATCTATTTTGATTTTTTAATGTATTAAGATACAAAGTATGAATTAAAAAAAAACGCAAAGCACATAAATATGACAGTTTATGTGAGTGAGGGCGTGTAAAGGCCTCCCCTTTAGATTTTCTAGTATCTAGCTTTATAAATTTAGGATATAATAATTTTTCCCCATACCTTTTTATCTTGGATAGAAAACACAAAAAATAAAACGCATTTCACATTCGTAAATTTATTAAAGCCCATTAAGTTATTGATTATATTTAAAGTTGGCTTTCAATTTTATGAAGACCGACGCACTCATCGCCCTGATTAAAAAAAACAAGTAAGAAGACTCTAGTCGAGACTGCTCGACTAGGATATACCCTGAACCCTCTAATCTGATATTCTAATCAGTCTGCACTTCTTTTCGACACACATACATACACACGCACGTATTAGAACGCGCTCTGCTAACTGCGCAGTAAGCAGCGACTGCGCTTGGGCTGCGCTGTAGTGTGGGCAACATTATAAGAATTTAATTGTTGAATAATTTAATTTTTAGACGTACAATCTTAATGAAACTTTCAGGGCGTAATCATATAGTGAAAATGTATGTACATTCAAAAGCACAAGTCTCTAGTACTTGAAATACGTTTTGTACAAAGGTGACGGTGAGGGGGTGGATACAGGGGTGGGGGGTAAATAACAATAAAAATCGAAATTATATAAAATACATATAAGTCTACATTTAAAATTTGCAAGCTCTAGCTCTAAAGGTGTAGGAGATATAATTAAATAACTAGCTTTCGATAAGGTTTTTAATCGATAATAAAATATCGGGAGTAGTTATCGATATAAAAAGAAAAACTTGATATGCGCGTGATATACACGGACCTAGGAAAAAAAATTTCAAGTCTTTAGCTCATATATCTTCTGAGATCGACGCGTTCATACATACGGACGGACGGACGGACAGACAGACGGACAGGGCCAAATCGACTCAGCTCGTCACCCTGATCAAGAATATATATACTTTGTGGGGTCTGCCACGCCCCCTTCTGCCTGTTACATACTTTTAACAAAACCATTATACCCTGATTTCCCATATTCAATGGGTTCAGGGTATAAAAATGTATATATATGGACATAGATCTCCGAAATTGCAGAAGAATGAGTTTGGATATAAAGTTTGCTTAAAATATTGGGTAATAAGTCAATATTATTACCATAATAATACAAGGAAGAAGAAAGAAGAGAACATTTTTTAATATGTCAAAATTACTAATCATATATATTGATTACAATTTTTATTTTTTATGACCGACACACACACACACATATATATATATATATATATATATATATATATATATATATATATATATATATATGTATACATTACAGCACTAAAGCTCGAAACTGTATTTAAGAACTAAATAAAAAATAGAAGCAGGAGTTTGAATGGCCAGACGTCGCCTTACAATTATTTTTAGAGGCAGATAGCAGCTCACAATCTGGAACTAGTTAAGCTAAAAAATGCAAAAGGAAAACAATATGACGACAGAGAACTGTCAGTTTGTCGGTCCATATCGCTTGGAGAAGACACTTGGTAAGGGTCAAACAGGTAAGCAACTGCAAAAGAATATTTTTGGCATATAGTAAAATATTATATTTACCACAATTTTTATAGGTCTTGTAAAATTGGGCGTACATTGTGTGATTGGGAAAAAAGTAGCAATTAAAATAATAAATCGAGAAAAACTTAGTGAATCAGTACTTATGAAGGTAAGTAGATCAGCCGACACCTCCTTGATAAAAGCTATCAGATATATGTATTTACTGATTACATCTTGGCATTGAAAATGGGAATTTATGGCATTATGTGAAATTCATTTGTTTCCGTCTATATTCCCTAATATACACAGAGTCCACTATAAATGGGATATAACGGTAAAATATTCTTGTTCAAATTAATGTTTCAGACAGAAATATCCTATACTGTATATATGTCTTCACCATCTTCTCGTATATATGTTTCTCCATCCGTCCGTATGACTGCATTAGTCACTATATAGCACGCGAAGATCAAGAGATCAATAACAATTTCATACAAATGTTATTAAATTCTATTCAAAAACAAGTAAGAAAGCTCTAGTCGAGACTGCTCGACTACGAGATCCCCTGGACTGATATTTCAATAATTATTCTCATACGCACACATACACACACACACACACAGGCATACGCATGCACGCATAAACACGCATTGGCTGTAGTGTTGGCTTACTACGAGTATGAATATTTAATTGTTTAATAACTTTTCTTGTGGATGGACTTTATTATAAATATAACATAGATATACATGTTTTTGCTAAAGCACAAGTCCCTAGCATTTGAAATACGCCTTTTACAAATGTGAGGGTGAGGGGGTGAATTAGGGGTGGGGGGTAAATGTTGACAAAAACAGAAATTGTATAAATTGCATATAAGTATACATTAAAATTTTGGAGACTCTAGCTTCAAAGATGTAGGAGATATAAATTTATTACAGGTTTTCGATCATGTTTTTAATCGATAACAAATAACAAAGGACCAATGAAAAAATTCAGGTCTCTAACTCTGAGATCGACGCGTTCAAACATACGGACAGACGGACGGACAGACAGACGGACGGACAGACAGACGGACAGGGCCAAATCAACTCAGCTCGTCGCCCTGATCAAGAATATATACTTGTGCTTTGGAATGTACATACATTTTCACCATATGATTACGCCGTGAAAGTTTTACACTCATTCACCAAAGTGAATCAGTATATTGGTTTTGTGCAATGTCCGTCCGTCTGTCCGTCTGTCCGTATGAACGCAATCTATTTCGGCGCCATTGAAGCTAGAGACTTGAAATCTCCGATTTATAAAGTGTTAAAATTTTTCCGATCCGCCCACTATAGGCGTGGCAAATCGGAAAATGCATTTTCCGATGTACCAGAAATCATGTTTGTTGAAGACCTAGAAAGCTGAAATTTGGTATGTAGGTCCGCGTCGACCACCCAAGATTACGAGCTATGGCGGATATATCTGCGCCCATTGGGGGCGTGGAAAATCGCCCGAAACTGTATCCCCCAAAGTTATAAACCTAGAATTCTGATATTTTGCACGTAAGCTGATGTTTTAATTCTATAAAGATAAGTGAAAAAATTATATATATACGCCTACTAGTGGCGTGGAAAATCGGACCTGAAGATATAGTGATTTTTCGAATTCGGCTATATTTTGGACACTATTGATGCCAGAGAAATTTGGTATATATACGCGGGTTGACCACCCAAGGCCAACGAGCTATGGTATATATATGTCCGCCCATAGGGAGCGTAGCAAACCGCAAAAGTTTATATCTCCTACAGTTTAAGAGCAAGAAGCTTCAAATTAGTTTAGTTACTGGTAGCCTTCTCTATCGATGCCCCAAAAAAATTTTTACTCCTCTTTAGGGGCGTGGCACATCGAAAAATATCCTGTAATTTTCACATTTTTTCTCGTTTTTCTCGTTCAAAGAACTGGCCAAAAATGAGGAGTCTACAGCCACTAGGGGCGGCATTTATATGCGTCAGCCATCTACTTATGTATTTGTACACATAAATAGGCTTAATAGGATTGATGGCACGGAAGGAAACATTTTTTTTTTAAATTAACAATATATAAAAAAGCTAAAATAACAAAAAAATTTGCAATTTACAAAAACGAGTTTTCCGCGGGATTTGATCTCGCACCCAAGCCGAATAGCATGTTCATGTCAAAATATCTAAAAAAAAAAGATCGCCGGCGCTTCTGCCTACAGCACCACCGCGTCGTTTCGATCAACAGTAGTTAAAACAAAACCACATTATTGTTATGACGCCACATAGCAAAGAAAAGCCAGTGTAGCGGCTGGAAATTCAAAAACAATTCAATGACAAATCAATCGCAACGAGATTCTTAGAATATGCTAGAGTACGCATTTATGTGTACATACATACACACAATGGAATGCTTGATGCTATGCGTGCAGATTTACATATATACATATATACATATGTATGTATTTGCGTATATGTATTTGAGGGCTATTTAAGAAGAAACAAATTTAAACTTATAAAATTATTCGACTAAGAAAATGAAAAGTATTAAGTGCCATTCATTCAAGCTCGCATCTTCCCAATAAAATATCTATTTTATAAAAAACGAAATATGTATGAAAAAAAAATAAATAAATAACACAGTAGAGGTTCGAACCTCCCCTACTCTAACATTACTTGCGTCGCCTTTATCACCCGCACCACTGCTTTGCTTGACCAGCTAAAATAGAATAGCTTAATAAGAGAGCGTCATCAGACAAAATTACAGTAACGGCTAGAAAGTCCAGAAATCAATCGAAATTCTAAGAATGTAAGAAAAGGCGCGCTTCTGTCTGTACGGATAGAATAGACGATGAGTGTGTGCACATGCATAGGAAAATCGCGCTGATCTGCTGTTAGCTTGAAGCCGGTATCCAATATATGGATATATCAAAATTGTATATATTATATATGTATGTAATTTGAATGCAAAAGCTATCGATGATTTTCCGATTTTAATGGCATCAAGCCGTGTTTTTTGTTGCGCACTAGACTTGAAAATTTCACTATATACTCTGGTTGATAGCGTTTGGGCTGTGAATGAGTCTTCTGAAATCGGTATCGCCCGACTGCAACGTTCTTACTTGTTATACCCTGAACCCATTGAAAATGGGAAATCAGGGTATAATGGTTTTGTTAAAAGTATGTAACAGGCATGAACGCGTCGATTTCCGAAGATATAAGAACTAGAGACTTGAATTTTTTTTTTAAATGACCGTATATACAGCGCGGACGTCGAGTTTGCTTTTAAAATTCGATAAATCATCCCGTTATGTTTTTATCGAGTAAAAACATTCAAGTTCAAGTCATATGCCACTATAGCTAATTGTGAATGATTTTTCATTTTTTTAATCTCTCAAATATTCAATATAATATGTAGATCATATGCTGAAAGTTTCATTAAATTCCGTTGTCAAAAATTAATAAAAAATAATCAAATATTTGGCCAATTAACAAACGCACGTGCAGCAGCTACAACAGCATCGTATGCGTGTGCACACATACATTCAAACTTCTTCTAGAAACATTCGTTGAATCACATCACCTGTTAGTTTCGTTTAGTTTTGGTAGTGGCGCTGCAGCAGTGAATCTATTTCAGTTTTGCCAGCGCAGCTTCTAAAAGTGAGGTGGCGTAGTGAGTAGCGGCGTGACGGTCGATCGAGAGGTCGCGAGTTCGAGTCTAGAGTAGAGTATGTATGTAACAGGCAGAAGGAGGCGTGGCAGACCCCACAAAGTATATATATTCATGAACAGAGCGACGAGGTGAGTCGATTTGGCCCTGTCCGTCTGTCCGTCCGTATGTATGTCCGTATTTACATCGCGGATATCGAGGTTTTCACTAAAAATCGAGAACTCATCCCGATCTTTTTTTATCGATAAAAACCTTATCGGAAACCAGTTATAAAATTATATCTCCTACATCTTTAGAGCTACAGTCTCCAAATTGTGAATGTATATGTATATGCATTTAATACAATTTCCCACCCCTATATCCACCCCATCACCCTTACCTTTGTGAGACTTGTGCTTTGGCAAGTGCACGCATATTATGTTTATAATTACGATCTGAAGTATCATGAAGATCGTATGTCCATAAAAAAAGTTATTAAACAATTATCTTGTGTAAGCAGAAAGATGCGAAAAATGATTGAAATAGCTATTGATCGAAGGGTTCAGGGGATCTCGTAGACGAGCAGTCGGGACTAGAGCTTTCTTACTTCTTGGTAATAAACTCGATATCCGCGCTGTATACACGGACATTTTTTATTAAAAATTTGAAACTTGAAGTCTCTAGCTCTTATACCTTCTGAAATCGACGCGTTCAAACATACGGACAGACGGACAGGACTCAATCGACTCAGCTCGTCGCCCTGATCAATAATATGTATATTTTATGGGGTCTTCCATGTCTCCTGCGTCGATCTTGAAAGACTTGAAATTTTTTTCCCAGATTCGTGTATAGCACGCGCATATCGAGTTTTGCTTTAAAAATCTATAACTTGCCCCGTTATTTTCTTATCGATTAAAAACATAATCGGAAACAAGTAGTAAATTTATATCTGTTACACCATTAAAGCTATTGTCGCCAAATTTTAAATATAGACTCATATGTACTTATTAGAATTTCGATTTTTGTCGCACCACCCTTATATTCAACCCCTCACCCTCACCTCACTCATCTTTGTGTCAATTACTACAGACTTGCGCCTTGGCAAGTACATGAATTATCTATGATATATTCATAATCTGAAAGTTTCATGAAGATAATCCGTTCACACTAAAAGTTTTTAAGCAATGAAATTCCCATAGCAAGCCGCCACTGCAACAATGCGTGAGTTGTCTGTGAGTGTGTGTGTGTATTTCTTGAGTAAGCAGAAAGACGCAAAGAATTATTGAAATATCATTTGCTCGAAGGGTTCAGGGGATCTCGTAGTCGGGCAGTCTCGACTACAGCTTTCTTACTTGTTTGGTCTGTGAATGTTTTTGTGCAGCGTCGGTTTAATATTTACAATAATTGCATTTTGCTTTAGTGTTTCTTTTTTTTTTTTGGCGCTCTATCCATTTCACTCTTTATATGTTGGTTAGTGTGAGTGTTGGCATACTTGCTCTCTCGAATTTCGATCGTCGTGCTGTG